GTCCATGTCCATTGCTGATGGACTGGACTCTTCAGAATCTGGTCTGCTGCCAATGTCAGCAGGTGTCCCAGTCTTTGTGTTCTTCGGCTGGCTCTCTGAGTCTTTCGGCTCAGATGAAGAGTCAACCTTTTCCCTTTCGGGACCTTTTTCTCTGGGCACTGATCCTTGGGCCGAAGCACTTAGGCCTTTCGGCTTTTTTGTGCTTGGCTCTCTTTCTTTTTCTTTCTCCTCCTCATCCTTGTCGTTATCTGGGCGACTACTGGATGGCTTGAGGTAGTTGCACCTTCGGGCGTCCTTCTGGTTGCCCTGTATCCTTTCGGGGAAGCCGGCGTCTGAGACATAAATCATCAGCTGATGATAAGTTGAGACGACCCCTTGGATCTCGTGAATTATGGGTCTCCCCAAAATCACGTTGTACACTGAAGGAGCGTCGATGACCAAAAACTCAATCATGACGTTCCGGGCTGCCTCATCGCAACCGATGGTGACAGGAAGTGTCACCTTCCCATCTGGATAAGTTGAAGCCCCATTGAACCCGGATACCGGATAGGGTACCGGCGTAAGGTGCTTGGGCTTCAGCTTAATTTGGTTGTAGGCCTTTCGGAACAGAATGTTTGCTCCGCTGCCACCGTCAACAAGGACCTTACTGACGTCGTGGTTGGCCACCGTGGCGATGATCACCAACGGATCCTCGTGAGGGAACGTAATCCCCCGGCAGTCGGCGGCTGTGAACGTCATGTTCGGCACCGGCGACTGGGGAGATTGAATGTCAGCGTTGTTCACCTGGTGAGTCAAAGCTCTAAGGTGACGCTTGTGCTCCCTCCGAGAGTATATTCCTCCCGAGATAACATTGATCGGAGGGAATTTCCCCTCCGGTTTTTTACTGTTTTTCCGGGGGAAATCAAGTTCCTGCCGAGAGTCCTTTGCTAACCTCTCGGATTCTTTTTTCTCGCGGTGATCCGCGATGTATTTTTTCAAGTATCCCTTCCGGACCATGTCTTCTATCTGGTCCTTCAGCTGGATACACTCTTCAGTGTTGTGGCCCGAAGACTCGTGGAACTCACACCACTGATTTTTATTTTTTTGCTGATACCACTCTGGGAGTGGTCTAGGCTTTCGGTAACTCTGCTCCTCCTTCGTCACACTGTAAATTTTGGCGCGTGGAAGAGAGAGCGGAGTGTAGGACTCGTATCTGCCTGTGTATGAGGCAAACCTGTCCTTCTTTAGGTCGCTGGCCGAAGATGGCTCCGAGGCCTTTGATTTTCCCTTTGCCTTATGGCCTTGGCCTTCAGACAAGGGTATTTGCCTCTGTTTCCCTCCCCCGGATTGAGGTTGGGTTTTTGCTTTATTCCATTCTTCGGCTCGGATGAACTTATCCGAAGCACTAAGAGCTTCCTCCAAGGTTTGCGGGGTATGCATGACCATGAAGTCTAGGAATTTTCCTGGCTGAAGGCCATTCTGCATTGCAAAAACAGCTAGCCCCTGGTCCAGCTGAGAGACGCTTGATGACTCGTTACTGAAACGGGTCAGGTAGTCTCGGAGGCTTTCGGTTTCCCCCTGTTGCAGACCCATGAGCTCTGCGGTAGTCTTCTCTCGGCGGTTTGCCGTGGAAAACTTGCTCCTGAACTTGGAGGACAGATCATCCCAACCTGTTATGGAGCCTTGCCTTACTCCCTTGGAGATCCACGCTTGCGCGACCCCCTTGAGAGTGGTTGGGAAATATTTGCACCAAGTCGCCTCGGATCTGGGGCAAAGATGCATATGAGTCTCATACGAGGCCACGTGGTCCTTCGGATCCGTGGTCCCGTCATATGTGATATGCGACGGTATTTTAACCGTGGGTACGCGCTCTTCTAGTATCCATTGCTCGAATGGTGAACTAGCGGGAAGCATAATGGCCTTGCCCTTGTTCCTGGCCGAAGGGACCGCGCTCCGCCCTCTCAGAGAGGTAGGAGTGGTTTTCGTCCCTGGCTGGGAAGTCTGGGCCTCGGCTGCAGGGAACGTGAGGCGACTACGCACGCTCGGTTCCTGGCCGCCGAGTCGGTCAAGGACGCTTCTGCGAGCAGTCTCAGGTTCCCGGCGAGTAGATTCTGGCCGAGAAGCTGAGCTGCTGCTCTTATGCGCTGCTGGTCTTGAGGATGAGGATCCTTTAAATAATTGAGAGTTCTTCTTCCTCTGTTTTTCATTTTTCCAAGAATCCTCCTCCCACTCTTCCAGTTCCCGGAAGGAAGGAAGCTTCCCACCGTCATGGTCTAACTTCCTCCGCTGATGCCGGGTATGCGGAGGAGTTCGATCACGAGGCGGTGGCATATTCTGTGCCCTCATTGCCTCCATGAGTACTGCCAGCGCTCTTGCCACCTCTTCCGAACTGGGCCCCGTCAAAGGGGTCTCCGGCCGAGTGTGGGCATGAGGCCGTGCAGCCGATGGTTGGCTTCGGGACACTGAATATGTCCTATGATCAGACTGACCCCTGCTAGACCGAGAGTGGTCCGGCCTATATTGAGAGTCATGCATTATAGGAGATAGGGAATCCTCCTTGTGTGATCCTCCCCCCGAGCCGGCACCCTTGGGAGAGTTCCGGTCCGGCGAGGGCGATGGTGTAGGGGTTTTAGGCTTTTCGCCCGCTCCTTGACGGAGGCTTTTGCTCTTGCGGTTCTTAGCCATGGCTGCTAAGATAATTGCAAGATGATCTTGGTTAGGAATTTGGCTTAAAGATTTTTGAAAGTCTTCCCCACAGACGGCGCCAAATTGTTTCGGTTGAAAACAATGGGACCTTGCCGAAGGTCCACTAAAATGGAGAAGACTGGATTCGATCCAAGCTGTGTTGGGCCGAAGGTTTCCTGCACAGTTAACACACGTAAACTAGCCTCGGGGGTGTTTCCGAGGAAGGCCCCTCCGATGCTAAAGTCAGTACAATGTGTAAAAAGGAAGACACTATGCAAGAGAGTTTGTAGCTTGAGGCTTTTGTGGAGTATTCCTCAATGCGAGAATGAGCATATGAGCTGCAATAATCGGTGTATGAGATAATGCAAGTGATGATGCATGTGTTGTTGTGTCTGATAGTGTATGTGATGTTATGAGATGTCTTATGTAAGAATATGACTCTCCCCTTGAATGTGTTAATATGAGGGCTTTTATACCTCATCATATTTGGAGAGGTTGGGCTTTAGCCCAATTGGCTTACTTTGTGGGCTGACTTTTGACTTTTGAGCAATTGGAGAGTTGAACCTTGACCTTGGGCTTTTAATTGGATCATTTAGTGCTCAGGCCCAATTTTGACTAAATTGGACCCAAACAATATGCATTTAAACAAAATATATAGGTTGGAATCAAATAGCTTCAAATTTCTGAGTCAAAAATTGACAGTGCTAATATATCGGGGTTGTAATTATACAAGGCCTAAACATAATAGCATACTTAAAACAACCTAGAATCAATAGATCAATGTGAAATTAAACCAAAAGTGGGATGGTCAAACAAGGAGGGCGGTGTACAAAAATAAGAGTAATTGTCGAGAAAAAGAGTTGAAAGTAGATACTCAAAAGTAAGAAAAGCTGGTTAAACATAACAGTAACTTTACAACAACAGATTACTGATTAGTGTTATGATTAAAACTATGATTAATAGAAAAAGCCTTTACAGAAAAGAGTGGCAACTCTGTTACTGCAAGATGCCCCACCTTAGTCAGCCACTCTTATTTTACTGTAAGAATAATTTAAATTAATAATTCAAATTTTTATTTTAGGCTTTACAGTGGAGCCAAAGGCATCGGATGAGCACCCAAAAGGAGATCAGACTTTCTCCAACTAGTTACACTTCTATAAATATATATTTTCTAAATATGTAAATTATAATTGAAAAATGTTATATGTTGTCATTAGGGCTCGCTACACGTAAGAAGCTAAAAGATGTAATGAAAGCTTGAGAATAACTAATCATGCATAATTTTACCAATCTATGCATAATTTTGTCATAAGTTTTCAAATATGAAGTATCATTTTAGAGAATGCAATTAATGCTTATATGCAACATATAGCATTACCCGGTCCAGTATAATGTCACGGTGATGAAGAGATATTGTTGGTTTTGTTTATTTGTTGTATGTGTAGAATTATAATGTATGTATTTTTCATTGTTGAAGCAAAGATGAAATTCTTATCTCAAAAAGGTATCTAGACCAATAAATATTAGTTTTATACAAAAGATCAATATATTTATGATGATATATAAAGACATTATCCTTTGAGATCACTAAAAGTTCAAGAGAACTACTTCTTGTTCCTGAGTTATAATGTGTTATTAAATCACTTAGGTTTTTCCTTTAATAGAAATCTAAAGGCCAACTAGCTTATAAAAAGTTGAAAAAAATTATTTAATAACATGGCCTGGTAAAGAAACAGTTAAGAATGATGTAGTTCCAAGCTTATAGTGTAACTTCACTTGTTCTCCTTTAATTTTTGGATAATACACCACACGAACATGTATTTAGTAATACAACTAACACTTCTTTATGCTGTATCAATCAGGACTAAGGGCCAGACCTTTAAGATTTCTAGTGTATATAGAGTTGGTCAGATTTTTAATAGCAAAAGTATAAATCACAAAGTACTACATAAACTCTATAATTTTGTACATTATATTCCATGAATTCATCCCTTATATCCTGCCTTTCGTAAACCATTTACACTTCAATTCGTCGACTTTCAAATTAAGTTGGCCTTTATAATTTTAATTCAAAATAAATAAATATCAGGTAAATTAGCTAGTAATTAAGGAAATGACGGAGGTATCTTATAATAATACATTTGAAATTCGATCTACCCCTAATAATCCTGACTAATTTTCAGCTCATTAGCCAAATAAAAAAAAGAAGAATATTTTTGAAAGAATCGTAGAATAAAAATAATTCAAATCTATCAAAAATCACAAAGATTCAAATAGTTGGTTCTGCTTCTTGTGCTCCCCATCTGCAAAAAAAAAAAAATAATAAAAAAAATAAAATAAAATAAAATAAAATAAAATAAATAAATAAAAAAGTCCTTGAACTATCCCACCAACCTGACCCAAAATCCCCTTATCTTTTCCTATCAACACCCCTTCTCTCTCTCCCCTATTTTTATTTTATTTTATATTTTATATATTTTTTTATTTTGGATGCAATTAATATAGTCTCTCTCTCAATATAGTTGGCCTTGTCTATATAAATATCACCTCTTCAACTCTCTTTTCTCTAGTTTATAAACTTTGTCAATAGATAAAAAAATAATTCAAAAAAAAAAAAAAAAAAATCTTCATAGAAAAGCCAATTTTTCGCCATCTAGCAACTTCTTGTTCAATCAAAGGTAATAATTTCTATTTCATCATAAGTAATTCAAATTACACTATCACCGTAATTCTTGTTTGTAGTGCATATATTCTCTCATGACCGCCTAGATTTAGTTATATTATCACATGCAACAGTTCAAATTACATTATCAGCATAACTATTAATTCTAAACAGAACTTTCAACGATCGGTACTTGTTTGTACAATTGCATTTTTATATTATAAACATAATGAAACAGTTGGTTATCCATGGCTGACGTTGAAATTCTGTTTTCCAATGTATTTTCATCAGATATCATCATCATCATTCAAGGAAAAATAATACAATTTGAAAAGTGAGTTTGTTAATGCCGTTGTTGATAAGAAAGAAGATCAGAAGAACATACAAGCTGATATTTTCATCATTCATCCAAATCATCAAAGTTGCAAACTTTATATCTTAGAAATCAGTAAGTTTTCATATCATAAACTCATATAATAAGTACATTTTTTCATTAATTATTTTTTTGATCATGTCATAAAATTATTAGTATGTACTAATTATATGTCATTATATTGTATGTTTTGTTAGAAATCCAATGGATGGTTGTACAAGTATGGCTCAATGGAGCAACATTTACCATCAACAAGGCGGTATCGAGACATCGAGATCGATTTCATCTTTGATCTTAGATCCAATCCATGAAGAGCTTCATCAAGAAGAGAATGGTCAAGGAATATTAATCCCATGGAATAATGAAGGTGCACCGAGAAATAATCAGATGTGCTCTTCTCTTCCTATGATTATTAGTCCGTTTTCGAACAACATCATTCATCAATCTCAACCATTCGATAAATCGACTAATAAGGGTACTGCATCGGCTAACAATTCCTTTGATCAACAATCATTTGAGTGTTTATTATCAGGTACTAATAGTAATACTGATACTTCAGTTGAAGATGATGGTATTTCTATGATTTTTTCGGATTGTCGGAATTTCTTCAATTATAATTCCAACAATGGTAACAATCATAATGATAATGAGCCTAAGAAGAGGGGTAATATTGAACAAGATTTCCAAGGTGATCATCAAGAGTTTCCTCCATTTAGTATCACCCAGGAAAATTCTTGTTCGCCAAGTTTGCGGCCCAGTAAGAGACAGAAGAACAACAACAACAACAACAATGTTGAGAAGTATGGGTCAGGCCGGCACAAGGGCTCATCGAATATAAGCTTCCAACAAGGAAGTTCATCGGGTTCCTCAATTGAGGAACCCGATGCAGAAGCAATTCAACAAATGAAAGAGATGATATACAGGGCGGCCGCCTTCAGGCCGGTGAATTTTGGGGTGGATTTGGTGGAGAGGCCTAAGAGGAAGAATGTAAGGATATCAAGTGATCCACAAACCGTCGCGGCGAGGCAAAGGAGGGAGAGGATTAGTGAGAGGCTGAGAGTTTTGCAAAAGCTTGTGCCTGGTGGTAGTAAGATGGATACTGCCTCAATGCTTGATGAAGCTGCTAATTATCTCAAGTTTCTTAGGAACCAAGTCAAAGCCTTAGAAACTTTAGGTAATAATAATAATAGTAATAGTAGTAATAATAAGGTTGATAATCATTATCATTATTCTCCTAATACTTCAACTAATCATCTTTTCCCTTCAATTAACCTACAATTTTCATCCATGCCATTTCCCATGCAATTACCCACAAATAATTCTACTATTTTTAACCCTCAATTTTCACTACAAAACCCTAATCATCTTCATGTACTTCCCAAAAGTTGATGTACTTTTAATTATTGGAAACCCCAAGAAAAGAAAAAAGAATTCAAGGGAAATGACCAATTTAACCCTACCTACATCATATCCCCATAATTTCATGATTATTGTCATCATTGATATCATAGTCATCATCATTGCTCCCTCTGTTACATCTCAGTGATAAGGAGGAAATCAACATCAAAAACAGGTGAACATTTTTGTAATTTTACCTACAATGTTTTGGGGGTATTTTAGTAATTTGTAGTGGTGGGATGAAATTATTTTTTTTAATTATTAGTCAAGTTATTAAAGTAGTGACCTTTTTCAATTGATCTGTGAAAAGTTTAAGTAATTATAGCACATATGATTATGAAAAAGGGGAGGTCAGAAAAGTGATTATGCCCCTTTATGTAATCTTTTTACCAATTATATGAGCATTTTCTAGTGTACTTGAAAAGGTTCACTTTCTTGTTCTTGCTATACTTTATGTTTAATTATTGTTATTTTTTACTGACTACTTAGTTAATTTTTGTTATTTTATAAGTACAATTGATCATTCAAAGTCTCAAACCATTAATATGTTTGTTTAAAATGTCAGTATTGACAGCATATTATTACTTATTTATTTTAAACAATAATGCGATAACTGATACTTCTGAAAAACTTGTGCAAAACCACAAACGCTAGATATAAATTAAAGGAATATCGAGGGTTTGTAATTTTGTATTATCAGTTTATCACTCGTATTTGATTAGTTTAACGTCGTATAACACGATACGACAATTATTGGGTTTAATTAAGAGATTAATTAATGAGTATAATAAAATATCATTGCACGAGACATTCTCTTATGAAAGCAGTGAGGACCCAACAGTGGTCCTGTCTCCTTGATTCAATCCAAAGCGTGCCCTTGAAAGTCACCCCTTAGCTTTAGTACTTCATATTGCTTAGCACATGATTATTCTTCTTTTTTGTCAGCCTATGTTTGTTAATTTTCTAGTTTAATTTAATTAATTGATTTTTATTTGTCCATTTTCTAATTTTATGTTTTTATTTAAACATTGAACTATGTGTTTTCTTGTAACATTCAATTTGTCCTTTATGTATCTGTTTAAAGTTGATGCGGCTATTGATATAGTTCTAGCTAGCGGCTAGCTTGAATTTTTGTATTGGCATTCAATAAGTTCAATATCAATATTCTTTACTTTTGGAATTTTTTGTTAATAATCATTTACATAGGAAAGCGGAAGTAAATGGACATATGAGTAAAAACAAGAATTACAATTCGTCCTTGGATTATATCAGCCATGGCTAGTACAATTATCTCAATGTAATTTATATTTAATTTTGTTAGCCTTACATACATAATTAGTAGTCATGTTGACATTTAATAGAGATATTTGAGATACTTATATATGTATATTGAATTTGTAATTTAGGAGTATAACAATGTCAAAAGCTAGGTCGATTTGATGATAAACTAACCTAAACCAGCAATGACCTAAACACAACATGTAATTGAATAATAGGAGATATTAGTACATGCATGAGCTGTAACTCGATATTAATCAATAATTGATTTAATCTGATATTCTTTTACACCCAAATCTGTACTTAACCTGATCTAACCAACAACCAATTTGACTCGGACTTGAAAACGATTTGAACCTAAACTGACTCCAAACCATTTGGAATCTGAAGCCGAGTATAGCAGTGCATGCAGAAGAGTGCAGATAAAGCAAAGCAGTGCAGAGTAGGGCTCAGCAAGCATAGCAATTGTTAGCAGAGCAGAGCATATTTCAACAAAGTAGAGTAGAAATATTTAGCTCAAAAAAACAAGCAATGCCTATTAAACAACTGTCACACACGGGTTTTGACTTCTACTTCCAAAGTAACTTTTCCATTTAAATCTCCTCATCTTCTTACTTATTCTTTGTGATTGGAGAAACCACAAAACCCATGGTTGGGAATCCTTTCATATTTCTTTCATCCTTATACTTCCTTTGTAACTTTTTAGATGCATCACTTTTTAAATAAGGAAGTTTCAAATTAGATGCATCATTAACTTTTTTAGTTAATAAATTCTCTCTATCTCTCTCATATCACATGGATCCTCTTTTTTCTTTCTCTCTATCTTTGATCTCTCATCTCCAAAAGTACCTAGGAGTTTGTGTTTTTACAAATGATGCGTCTAAAAAAACGGAGGAAACATTACTTTTAAACTATCGGATTTACATTTTTTCAAATCACTCTTGTTTGTGTAATCTATGAAGAAGTTGGTGTTTTAAGTAATAATAGATCAGACTTTATGATAACAGGATAACGATATCATACAAATACGTTCTTTGATGGTTTTAAGTAATTAAGAATGGAAAGAGGGAGAGGGCAGGGTATTTAAAAATTCATTTTATAAAAAAAGATATATCTATTACATATTACTGAAGGCAAAACTTAGAGGGACATTTGGCGGCGTTAGATTAGAAATTTTCCCTCCAAAAGTACTTGTATTTGCCAAAAAAAATAAATAAATAAATAAAATAAAATCTTACTCTAACAAAGGATTCTAGATTATTACATTTGTTTTACATAAAATCTAAATTAAACTTTCCAAAATATTAAATAATTTATTATAACTATTAATTGTGGTTATTTTTTCAAATATACTTTATACTCTTAAAAAATTGGTGTGTCGAGTACTTATTTTTTATACTTTTTTTATAATTTTGTTGTCATTAAAAGTATTTAACAATTATGCATCTATTGCACGAGATTTAACCTAGTTGAGCTATACATGCAAATTTACAATGCAAATCAACAAATAAAAAGAAGTCAATGCTCAAAAAGTTGACTTTTGGTCATGGTAAAAGGAAACTTATAATAATTTCCTTAGATATTAAATAATTAAGGTAAAAAAAAAAAAAAATATTCCCACCGTTTCAATTTGATAGTCTCATTTTGACTTTTTATAATCAAAATTTTAAAATTTCGATCAAAAACTCACATTAATATATATAGAAAAAATATAATCATATGAGATATTGTTATATTTGTATTGATGCGTAATTTGATAATATCAAATTTATATATTTTTTTGTTAATATATGATTAAAGATATTGATGGTCAAAGATACATCTTAAAGACTGTGCAATGTCAAGATGAGACTATCTAATTGAAATGGAGGGAGTAGCTCGCAAAGCTGACAAAAAATTAGTACCTATTATATTCCTGTAAGTTTATCAAATTATCATGTACTCATTACTCCCCTCTCATTCCTCGTGATATTATAAAAAAAATTTAAAAAAAAAAAAAAAAAAAAAAAAAGCTTTACTACAAATTAATGAAAATTTTAGGGTAATGTTATAGGGCTACAAATAAGTATTTAATATCTTTCCTTTTTTGGTATAAGTTTAGGGATATATGACAAAATCACGCGCAAATCAGTGTAATTAATGAAGAGTATATTTCATTAATACTTTCCTTTTTTAACTTCTTATTATACATAGCCCTTAGGGCTACATATAGCATTTTACAAAAATTTACCGTTTGAAATTTGCATATTACAACACATTGAGTTACATAGATTCAAATAAAATCAATATTATTGCAAAAATCATTAAATATATTGAAAGAATGTCCCAAATTTCATTTTCCAATTAGTCGGTTGGGACCATATTAAACTTAAATATTTCAAAGATTGTAATAATTTCTCACATGCTATAAGCTTATTATAGGTGTATTATTAGGATAGTCAATTATAGTCACTATACCAATTGCAAATTAAGTAACAAACAATAAGAAGTTAGTTGGTGATGTAGACTGATGCAAGAAATCACGAATTTGACATGGTTGTACAAATAGAGTGAACTTTTTGTTTGGATCAAGATAGTTTCTTCTTTTGTCATTTGTAAGTTGGATTAACTTTCTAAATTAAGCAAATTCTGTTGAGAATGAAACCGACTCTTCGGCTTCTCATTTGCTCTTTTTTTTATGTTAATTGGCTTGTTTCTTTAATGTTGTACCATGTACTAGTACCAATTTAGTGTATTTTGTTCTAAAGAGTTGACATTCTGAAAGTTAAGGCTTCCGAAAGTATGAAAAATAATTTGTTATACATAGCCTTAACAAGCTATGAGCCAAAAAATTGACCATATCTAATCAGTCGAAGTAACTCAATTCATAATCATAAAATTCGATATGAATCAAACATAACTTACTACGCTGAAACCAGCAATGTCATAAATTTAATGTTTGTGATACTTATTATTTTATCATAAAACAAGAAGTTGACTATAGAATCAATTTTGACCGAAATCGACCGACTCAATGAATGACTCAAATGTCACCTATTGATTATTTGATTTCATAAGTAATGACGAAATCACCTGTTAATTAATATTCAATACACTTTTTGTATTTATCTTCTTATATATATATCCCTTATGACTGCATTCACCATCTATCGAAAAGAAAAAAACCACTATGTATCTTATGTACGTGAGAGGGGGATATCATATCATATCTTAGAGAAGAATATATTACATGATTGATGATGACCCAAAAATATTGACTTTAGGTGAAGAAGGGAATAGGATTTGTCTTTCTCAAGTGAGACAGCTGGTGTTAGTGCATGATATCATCCATGAGCATAGTAAACCCAACTTCAACCCAAAGTTCAATTCATGAGCAAGCAAACGACCACATTATAGCCATCATTGCTTGTTTTTGAGGGATAAGAGTAGGGACATTCTTTAATCTTGGTGCTTTGAACCTTGAAACAATCAATACAATTTTTTTTCTATCATGTTTTTATAGGACTTTTATTTTTCTCTAAATCTATATATATATTTTTTTTTTATGACGATTTATGTTTTTTCCTACATCTATATGGAGTAGGCGGACCAGTCTAGAAGTGGAGAACAAAAAAAAAAAAGTGTTTGTTTTGTTTTAATATTTTATAACTTTGAAATTGCATGTCGGTATTTATGTGTGTTTTTATATCAATGATGATTGTTCTCATTTTATTGTTGTTTTTCCAAGCAATAGTTGAAATTAAGATATTGTTCTACTAACTTTATCTCACTTATCTTAGGAAGAATAAGTTTTAAATGGATTACTAAATTTAACCAAATAAATTTATAGTTCTAAAAAAGGCTTAATTAATAGGAACTACACAAGTAACACAATGTTATTTTACAACTAAAATAAGTGCTAATTACTATAGTCTATAATACGAAACACTTGTTATGATTGAAAAAATAAAGTATACACAATTTTATTTTATTTTATTTTTTGACAGAGAAAAAAATACACAATTGCTAATAGTCTTCCTATCTCGATGAGATATAAACTTATTAGCATCTATAAAAATGGATAATAAATATTGACGTGGTCATGTCTCATGTGGGTTAATAACTTAATGACTAACCAAACTTGTGATATTAATCTTGAATATAAATATTATTATATGAGAAAGGATAGA